AACTATTTAGATAAATGTAATCAATAATTATAAAAATAATAGGATATTATTAAAACTATCTTATTTTCTAGCATTTTGCAAACTTGCATGTTCCTGAACAATATCTTCAAATTTTTTAATATTTCCCACTTTATTTTCAGAACCTTTTTACATGCTCTTTGTTTACATCAAAATTCAATGAGTAGTCTGGTCTTTCTGTATATACACATTGATAAAAATAGGGGTGTACACCTGTTATACATGGCTTGTGTCAGATGTTGGGGACTGACTATTCTCTTCAGCAATGGGAATCTGAAAAGTATCTACAAATCAGCTGATCACATCCTGTGAAGCAGGATTTGAGTCTATGTCTAAAATGGGTAGCTGCAGGGCTTTTAGTATTAGACTCTAAATTGCAATTTCCTGTTTTGCAAAATCGCATTCATCCTTTGCAGCTTCACTAATACTCTCTTCCAGGGTTTTCCCCTTGCTTGTTAATAGCCCTGAACTAGTGCCTTTTATCAAGTTCCTGTACAAGTTTGATATTAGGCAAATGATGTTTTTATCTTACTTCTGCAATTTATCAGTTTGAACTGTTTTTAACTGTTATTTTTCTTTGACGTATTTATTAAACCAATTATTTGTATCTCATTTCTATTAAACATAAATTACTTCTTGAATGAGAAGACTAAGATCTTTATATTTCTACTTTGCTTTGTGTTGGCAAAAGCATCCAGAGCATGTTGGCTTTTCTTTTGTTCTGAGCAGTGGTGTACATTCACAATCAAGTTTAATTGTGAAATGAAAACTTCATAAATATATCATGGGAGAGACAAATTAGCTCTAATTTGTTACCTAAGCAATCTCCTGGCCACCAAGTAGTTGGAGATTTGAACTCCCAGAATGGATTATTTTCTTATTTTCAGGAGAAATGAATGGATAGGGAGCTATAGTGCTAGTCCAACTTACTGGTAAGTACAATTGAGGAAATAACATTGAATAGAAATGTTAGCAACAACTATATGCCTGTTTCTGAAATAGAGAAGCATATTCAAAATGGCAGTCCAGCAACTCGCTCTGAATATAGCTAGCACTTCTCCCAGCAGTGTGGCGATACTGCTCTATCTGTGTTAACCTCTACTGAAGTCTGAGCACAAAGGATCCCAGAGAGCCATCCAGACCCCTGCATCTCATGATTATGTTATGCTCCTCTCAAAAATGCTGCAGATACATCACATAATTGTGTTGTACAGGCTTAGTTGAATGAGTGCTAAATGTAGGTTATTTGCAAGTATGGACAAAGTTAAACTACTAATGCAACATCCAGAAAGCAATGGGCCCCTGCAAAGATGAACAGTATGGTAAGACTACCTTTCCAAGAAAAGCCCTGAGAGTTAGGTAGCAGGCAAAGTGCCAGTTCATTGAAAGCTTCCCCCCCGCCCCGATCAAGGAACTTTAAAAAAATTATGTCCACAGCTTACTAAATATAAAATGTCAAAGTAGTGAATTCTTACGCTCTATAACATACAGTATTTTCCAGAGGGAGAGAATGGCAGGTGAAATGTTTGCAGCGTCGCACAGCTGCCTTCATGCCACCTCTGAAGGCTCTTAGAAAAGAAGTCAGAGTAAAGCAGCTGACTTGAAAGGGGTGAATAGTTCTGCTGTCCAGTATAAACTCAGGGCTGCTGATTGAGTTCAGGAAAATGTTCCAGGACACACAGCTCTATAACTGTCTGTTGTAAAGTGTCCGTGCATTCTTTTGAAATGTGATATATTGACTGTGCTGGGACAGATTTCTAAAGAGGATGAAGGGTTCAATCTGTTTGGGCCAGCGCCCATATTCTTGATCAAAACTTCCTACCTGGTGCACTTCCCATGAAGGAGAAAACTTAACTGCAGAAGATTTGAACTTTATTCATATTCGCTATTTTATACCCTTTTGCCTTTCTGTGAAATTTATGTCTCCACTGACTTTTGTTCCCTTTCTTAAATTAAAAAAAAAAAAATTCTCTGCAACCAGAAAACAGAAAGAGGTTAACTAATTTGCATAAACCAGACCTAGAAATCATTCACTCGCCTTCATTTTAAAACCTGATGATCCTCTCTTTAAAAAAAAAAAAGAAAAAAAATGAAAATAAGAAAATGCTCCCTGTTTTTAAGTAGTGACCAGTTGATTACTCAAAGACTCTAAAAAGTCTCCAGGCCTTTTTCTCAGGTAATTTTTTCTTAAATTCAGCGATCTGGATACTCCGTATTAAGCTGCTCTGGTTTGTCCATCCCTTTTGTCCTCTCCAGTGACTTTGGAGTTTTCCTGCAAGCTTATAAGTATGTTTCGAGCAATCTGGATTTCATCTCAAGTTCTGTAATCAAATTGTTATGCTTTCAGTTTTATTTAATTTTTTTGGTTGTCACTTGAGCTTGAATATTAGAATCTGTACCCTGCTTACAGCGCTCTTACAGTATACTTCCACAGCATGGAGGGAGGCTGTCTCATGAGGGATAAAAAATAATGGTGTTCTTGTCATAAGCACTGGGAAGGCTTGCAGATGTGAGATGTCTGCTATGTTTTAGGTAAAAGCCGACAATAACATGAAACTGTCCACTGAGAAACGGGGAAAGTCAGCACAAGAATTAACTACCCTCTGTACTCTGGTTTCTATCTCTGTGGCTGACTTATAAGAGCCATTCATAGTCTTTCTTTATGCTTACGTAGATACGACAAATAAAAAATGTTAATTAAAGCTTCATACTCCATACTTTTCCTTCTGCTTGTACCTTTTCTTTTTAAGACCTTAAGTGTAAAAATTGATAGCTCTGCTTTGATAAGAAGCTGGCCCAGGGCAGAGTTTTCTTCCAGTGTACTTTCTACCTTTAAATTTTTGCCATTCAAAAAGGTTATTCTGATATCCTTAACTTTCTGCTTAGGCTTCGTTGCCCAGGCATTTCATCTTTCTTAAAACTTCTTTAGTTTTTTAAGGTTTGTGAGATACACCCTTCCCTGAAAGGTTAATAGAACTTAATAGATTAAGAAAGCAGTCTAAGAAGCCTAGAAATTAAATCTAAGTATTTTTGAAGCATAATTGCCCTTTTCTGAGTTCAGAGGTAGACAGCCACCTTGCAGCATGTGCCTGTAACAGCTTCACTGCTAAATAAAGTGAGATTAAAACATTTAAACTACTTTTTTATTCTTTTAATAAGGCAGGAATCCTGATGTCTCTTATCTTCATTGGAGAAATAGAATAGGCTTTGTCATGATTAAAGCATGAATTACCTAATTGTTTTCTGTGTGATTTGAGATTCATCAGTATTATTGTTTGGAATACCTGTTAGTAAAGACAGAGTATTTTCTTGAATAAGGATGTATTTGAAATCCTTCCTTTAGGGCTGTTGCATGTTATTTTTTCTTCTGTGTGGTTTGTGCTGTCTTCTGAAGTCTGTAGTTTTGCTGTACTAGTAAACAATTTGCTCAGATTCATCTTTAGCTCAGATTTGTAGGATTTTGAAGTCCTAGATGTCTTAGATGACTTTTACACTTGTAAAATTTGCTTTGTGCTGGTTGTTTGGTGTACAGCTTAATGTTTTAAAGCAAGTACAATGAAGAAAGAAGGCTCAATTACATGTCCTGTGCATGAACAATTTAGGGAAACATATCCCTATCTTCATTTCTTTGTTTTCCTACTTGGGAGTGTAAGGCGGTGTGAACATCCACTCCCAAGGCTGGGGACTAATGGTACAAATGCATTCACTTCTGCTTCAACCAGCACAGTAACTTAAACATTTTAGTAACTGTTGAAGGCAGGCCCCAGTGCAGCAGCAGCATCCTGCCTTTAAAAGATAACAGGGAAAAGTGGAGTTAAGCACAGAAGCAGAGGTGCATTTATTTCCATTCAGAGAAGTGGTGTACGCAGCAGTCATTGGCAAATAACAGAGCAGTTAGTCTCACTATTAGTACTATATCCTGCATTTTGGATACGTGGCTATTCCCCTGCGTTGGTTCTCAACAAAGACCTCTGATTTCAGAATTGGATCCTTGTTTTTTTTGTAGTGATGCATTAATATTAATAATCATTGAGGTAACAAGAAATGAATTCGTTCTTCCTGGCTTCACGATACTGTACTAACCAGTCTGAAGTTAGTTAAGAGACTCCTCTCCCCTTTCCCTCATTGTGTGCAACTCACTGATTGTCTGTCCCAAACCTTTGATGTTAGCTGCTAACATTTGTTTATGACTATAAAATAATTCCTTTTGAATTTTGTAAAACTTAATTCTGTTCCTCTGGTAAATAGGTACATAAAGATCTATATGTATAAAACCATCACTGAAATTCCTGACCACCTTACCACCTAATGTACTTTTATGTGAAATCATGTAGTCATCATTACTGTGTCGTGTTCTCCTTTCTAGTTTCCAAATAAAACGGTAGCCCAAGTTGCCTGCAGTATGCTGAACATGCTGATACATTATGTACAAAGACTTCAAGTATATCAAGCTGATTCGCCTTTAAGAATTATTCAAGTAAGTAATTTCTAAAAATTTGAAATTTTTAATTCTTTTAAATGCCACGGTAAAATTTATTTCCCTGAAATTAAAACACCAGAATATTGACAAGTATGTTTCACAAAACATTCAATTAGTATAAACATATTACTTAAAATATGAATCTGCAGTTGTATTTTGCATATCCATTAAAGAGTTTCAGTATAAAGCAAAAATAATTCTTTTGAATACACTTTACATAACAAGGAAGTACCAAAGAGAAAAGGCAGAAGTCTCCCAGGTAACTGGAAAGGTAATTGTATGGAAGCTTCTTAAGACGTATAGCAAGCATTTCTCTGCTCCTCTGCAGTCATATTGTTGATCAGTTTTGTATCACGAATAGTGTGACCAGCAGGACTAGGGAAGTGATGATCCCTTTGTACTCTGCGCTGGTGAGGCTGAACCTGTGTTCAGTTTTGGGCCCCTCACTACAAGAAAGACATTGAGGTGCTGGAGCGTGTCCGGAGAAGGGCAACGAAGGTGGTGAAGGGCCTGGAGAACAAGTCTTATGAGGAGGGGCTGAGGGAGTTGGGGTTGTTTAGGCTGGAGAAAAGGAGGCTGAGGGGAGACCAGGTTGCTCTCTACAGCTACCTGAAAGGAGGTTGTAGCGAGGTGCATGTCGGCCTCTTTTCCCAAGTAACCAGTGATAGAACAAGAGGAAATGGCCTCAAGTTGCGCCAAGGGAGGTTTAGATTGGATATTAGGAAGAATTTCTTCACTGAAAGGATTGTCAAGCATTGGAACAGGCTGCCCAGGGAAGGTGTGGAGTCACCCTCCATGGAGGTATTTAGAAGACGTGTAGGTGTGGTGCTTGGGGACATGGTTTAGTGGTGGGCTTGGTAGTGCTAGGTTAACAGTCGGACTCGATCTTAAAGATCTTTTCCAACCTAAATAATTCTATGATTCTATCAAGAAGAGGCAAGGTGTTTACAAATTCTAGTAGTTCTAAGAAATGATGGAGCTCGGTTAGCCCAATACACAAACCTGCATCAGGCTCCTCCCCTCACCCTACAAGTGTGTTAAATCAAGTTCTCTTCCTGCCTTAATATTTGGAGTAACTGTGTAATTTCATTGTCCTTAATGCACCTACGTCTGTCAAGCAGAATGTATTCCTTCGATGTCTTCTGCGAAACTCAGTTAAAAGGGTTTAATTTATTAAAAAAAAGCAGCAAAGAATACTGTAATTTGTCTCAAAATAACTTTAATAGCATTTAACCATTAATCTAGTAGTGTCACATTTACCTGCTTCAAAATTTATTTTAAATTTAAATATTTAGATTATATTTTAAAAGGAACTATGTTGTATTTTCCCCAGATTCTGATAGCAACTATTACACATCTGCTACCCAGTACAGAAGCTTCTTCTTATGAACAGGACAAGAGGGTAAATGGTCTTAATTTCTTTTTAATGTGTCAATGACATAACTTTGTTACAAAATTTAAGCTGTGTTTCAGCTTTTTAAGTAAAATACAATATAGTCTTCCCATAATTACAGCAATATAGTTTATGCAAGTGAATTTCTGGAGTATTTGTGGGAAATTATGGGTTTAAAATTAATTGAGATTGATTGTTTTCAATAATTAGAAAGTGTTCTTTTTCCTTATCGTTGGTGAAATTACAGGCAAAGTAACATAGACTTTTCAAACTTGTCTTATAGTGAAAATACATTCTCAACTTGTAGAGAGTACATTGCAAAATATTTATAAGGTTATGATTTTTTCTCTCTTTCCATTCTAAGTACCTTCTTGAGCAAGATAGCCTGTAATCTTCAGATGAGTTTGGTTGTTGTCATCCTTCAAAACAATTGCTCTTTCTTCACCTGATACTCATAGTAGTACTTTCTGCCTCCTGAAAGCCGTGTCTCTTCTGAATTATTTGGCTTTGCTCTAGGACTGTGCGACTCAATGTTCATTTAAACTTGGGTACTTTGGTGCAGTTTGTTGGCAGCTCTATCGTTCTGGGCTACCTGTTCCCACAGGAACTGGCATTCATCTGTTGCTCATTTTGGCCTCCAGAGCTCCGTTTTGCCTCTCCTCTTTGCTTGTGAAAAGTCAGGGGCTGTTATAGACTACAGTGGTATGCCGAGCTAGCCACCTTTCCACTTGAAGATGCTTCCCATACTTGAAAAACTTTCCCCATGAACTAATGCTGATTGTCGTACATCAAATATCATATAAAAAGTTGTCTGACTTGGTTTGACAAATATAGTCCTAATAGGTTTCTTAAAAATTGGTTTAATATAGAAATACTCAGAGCCCTTCCTCATTAGGTTTATTATACAGTGCCTCTGAGAGACAAACTTGTAGTGTATTATGTGAAATTAGTGTGATGTTTATATGTCGTTTGTTAGGAAATTAGTTAAGTTGATTTTCTTTGAAAGACTTCTATTTAACTTGGGAAATATTTTAGAGACTTTTGCAGCTATTTATCGGAATTGTTTCCTCTTCCACAGCTAATTTTAAAAATGAAAAATAATTATTTGAAACAAGTAAGTTGTTAATAATTTGGTGTGTATGAGTGTCTTATTCTAATTCTGTTCTACAGTCTTTAAAAACATCCCCTAGAGGGAGTTGGTTCTTTTGCTGACTGAGTATTCTACAATACAGAAAGCAGTTTGATTTCTTTCAGATGATACCTGGTGCTGCTTAGCATTATTGACATGTTGTGAAGGAAATTCTGTATTATTTGTAAAGCATTAAATGCAGCTGAAATAGCCCAGTACTGTGTAATCCTTGATTCTCTTTACAGTCAGATTTATGTGCAGAATGGTACCTCAGCCTTACTTTGTACCTGTGTAATCTGTCATTTTTAAAACAGCACCCTGTAAATCAGTTTTGAAAATCATGGATGTCCTCTTAAGTACAGTATCTGCTCACAGACTTACCATGATGAGAAACTGTTGTATGGATGGTCTTTGTTAAATATCTCAGTAGCCAAAGTTTTTACTGATGTTATAAGTTTTGAAGATACAGTGGCTTTTAAACAAGTGTGACTGCCATTACTGCAGAAGTTTGATCCTACTGAATCGAAAAAAGAAAGTAGAACAGAATAGTAAAATACAGTGACAAATGTGAAATAGTAGGTGCTGGTTTAATTGATTTGTAATTGAAACTGTTCATTCTAGTTGGTGGTTTCTTTACTTCTGTGCTTATTGGACTGGATAATGGCCTTGCCATTAAAGACCTTGCTGCAGCCTCTTCACACTACAGGAGCAGAAAATGCTAAGACTGAAAGATCCGTTCTTAATTGTATATATAAGGTACATGTTTCTTTACTTGCTAGATGAGAATTTCTCTGTGTGGCAGTAGTGTCAGTTTTCATGGAAACGAAGACAGAAGTTTTCTGTAAGCTGACCACTGTTGTACTGCTGAAATGTGGAGTGCTGTCTTAGTTCTTGTACATTTTACTGTAGCTGCTTCATCTTTGGTGCATTCGGAATAGTTGATTTTGGTTTACATTTTGTGAAGTTTAACCAAGTTCATTTTTGTATGTCATATTGATAGCAGACGCGTGTGTTGTAGAAGACCAGCTATACATTTAAGACAGGAGGATGTAGCTTTTATATACCAAGCAATTTTATTTAGCAATATAAGCAAAGTAAAAAGCACTAAGTTATAATTACTGTCTTTGGGGACAAAGAACAAAGATAGATATTTTTTCTTTTTTTTTTTTTTTTTTGCAAGGGAAGGAGATTAAAACCTCCAGCAGCTTAGACCTGCATATGTAATTAAAGAAGATAGGAGATCTAAAAATAAAGGTAGCTTAGTGATTTGTTGTCAGTTTTGTTTCTTGTTTCTTTATTGTTAAATTCCACTTCAGTGTAGGTGCTGTTTTAATAATTTTCTTTGCAGACCAGCGTTTTTTTCTGCAAACAATATGCATCTAAAATTTTCCAACAATTTATCCTGCTTACCCGATTTTAACAAATTAATTAAAAAATGTAAATAAAAATAAACTTCATTTCTTATAAAACTATTAAGTAGAAATTTCAGTAGTTAATGTAATGAAATTCTGATTTTCTTCTAGGTTCTGCATGGATGTGTCTACGGGTCTCAGTGTTTTAGCAACCCTAAATATTTTCCTCTAAGCCTTTCTGATTTGGCATGTGTGGATTATGATCCTTTTATGCATTTAGAAAGCTTGAAGGAACCAGAACCACTGCATTCTCCAGACTCAGAGAGGTCTTCTAAACTTCAGCCAGTCACGGAAGGTTTGTCAAATTGCCTAAATACATTTTCTTTCAGAAAGATTTTATCTTGGTTTCTAGTATTGAAGTGTTGGTCTAAAGCATAACTTAAATTATACCTAGACACTAGGTAAGAACCATTAGTCTGGAATGAGCTAACATAATTTTGAGCAATTACTGTTCAATTAACTGAAATAAATATCTTCTGAACAACATGAAGATCGATTTGATATGGATTCTTCTGTGCTCTGTGTATCAGTAAAAATTGTTAAGTACTGCAAAATGGATAAATGTTGCTTTTCATTTTATGTTCAGTAAATTATTTTTTGCTTAATTTTGCTTCTTTTTCTAAGAATATTTTGGATTTTTTTTCCTATCTGAGCTTGCAATATTAAAAGCTTTCTGTGAATTTTTTAGCTTATTCTACTTCGTTGTCAATCTGTTTACAGTGTTTAAAACCACAGAGTTATCTAAAAAGAGAGAAATTTTCTGTCCTCTGCTTTAGAACCTTAAAAGACTCAGGAATTAACATTTCCTTCAGAACTTAAAATAATCAAGAAACTAAGCTACAGAGGAGTAGCATATATTATGCAGTGTATCTAGTAAATATCAAATGGCTACATTGGAAAGAAAATTGAAAAAGATGAGATTAATACTGATACCAGAAACTCTGTGTAGTGCTATTCTCCCTCCATATTAAGTTGTTCCATTTAGGCTTCCTTAAAGATATTAAGAACCAGATAAATGCAGCAGCTCTTTGTAGCAGCTGTGTGCTAACAGCAGGTGATTTTGTGGTCTGTAGTGACTACGTGCTGTTTTTTATGTAGAGAAAATGGCTAATCATTGTGCCCTTGTCTAAGGCATGCTTCATCATCCTCAAGTACTTTTTTGGCCAAAGAATTCTAAACATAGAGCTGTCCCCCTAATAAGCTCAGTATTGGATTGAACAAGTCTGATTTGAGAACTGTTGGCAGGAGGAGCTGTAATTATTAAATTTACTGAAGAATGAATCAAGGTACTATAGTTGGCTTTTTGTCAAATGGCTGTGGTCTTATTAGTAAAAAGTAATCATCTGCTGGGTCAGAATGAAAGAGGCTTCGAAGGATTCATTCTGTCCTAATTACAGTCTCACCTATACATATTATATAAAGCTAATATTTAAAGCATTTGCCAAAATTAACTTCCACTGCATGTTCTATTACAGTGTAGTGAATTGTAGTAGCTTTTTATGCCTGGCATCTTTTGTATTCTGTAATAATCTATAATTATGGGTTAGCAGCAAATGCTGTGTGGCTCTTTTAATCTGACAATCTGAAAAGACAACCCTGAATAGATTTCTCTTTAAATGAATGTAGTTGCACAAAGCCTTAGCATCGATATCTTCATTTTGCATTTCCATACGTGATCTGTTCTTTTATGATTTCTTGTTAAATTTCTAAGTAATTTCAGATGTTCCTTTTCTCTCTCCAGATAAATTAAGGAAGTCCCATATGTTTTTAAAGTTTCAGGGGTCTGGAATTGTAAGTCAGATTGTGAAATTTAATTGGCAAACTACAGCATTATAATGCAACCCTGGCCTTGCAGCCTTGGCTCTTCTAGGCCACATTGCTGGGCAGAGAATAAAATTGGCAGTGCTTAACTGATTGCACAGCATCTGTTCTCCCTAGCATTGTTGGAGGAGTGAGAGGAGTAAAGTTAGTGGATAACAACCAGTCTGGGACTCGATCAAGACAGGGGGTCAATTAGTACAAGCTAGCAGCAGAGCAGTATGCCAGTGGGTCAACCTCTTTTTTTTAGTAGAGTAAAAGTGCTATCATGCTATCTTTTTTGAAGGAATGGAAATGGGCAGGATGGCAGTTGTAGAGAAATCAGGGAAGTTCTACAAAGGGTGAGGATTGCTAGATTATCTCCTTAGATCACAAGCAAAGCTGAAAGTACCGAAACGCCAGAATTCTTAAGACAGAGTGCTTTTGATGAGTTTAATAGGTATGATTTACATACCCTGCTATGCCTCCCATTGTTCAAGGTCAGATCCATCACAAGTTTTACAGACACTTAGCCACAGTATGATGTGGTGTGAGACCATAAAGATATGGGACTTTCAGTGATACAGCTGTGTAGTAAGGACAGGATCTATTGAGAGGCTGGAGCAAGCCTTGCAGTAAATGGCAGGGTAAAGATTTGTTAAATCCTCTGGAAACAGGCGGTGTGGGGAGAGGACTATTCCCCTCTCTGTTTCAGTAACTTTCGAAGTGCTATCTCTCACAAGCAATCTGTTACACATAGGATTATCTGTGAAATTGTCCTCCTTTCTGTAGGTTTCAGGTAAAGTGGTAGATTGCAGTATAAGATACACAAAGGATAATTTAGAAATTAAGTGTTAAGTATATTAAAGTGTTATAGTTAAACCAGAATGAACTGTTAGCAGGTGACAATAAAGACATCAGTAGGAAACTTTTCTTGCATCATCAGAACTTTCAGACAGCAAGTCTGTGCTGCTTTCATACATGTAAGGAATCACAGGGCTTTTCTACTTGAAGGCTGATGAACTGTTCCTCTAGCTAGTATCGACAACAGCTTCCTCTAGCTACAGTACAGGCATTCACGTGCTGCCTGTGCTAATTAACCGCACCTAACTAGCCTGGATTCAGTATCATACTGACAGAAGTATGCTTTCTCCAAGGATAGTATAGCATTATAGCTATTCACTGTACAGTTTAGATGTGCAAAAGCTGACTTGGGCTGCTTCTGATCTTTTACTTGTCATTACAGGACCCTAAGCATATATGTGGGAGAATTAAAATGGAACCTCTCCTTCAAAGCTTTTTTGTTGTTTATATTAAATGATGCAAACATTTAGGAAACTGTAAAATTGACAGGTTTCTGTGACCTTTCTATTGACAGGGAAGCTGGTTACAGGAAAACATGTGGCATTAAACAAAAAAGTGCTATCCATCTTGTAATGTTAATAGATAACAAAATCAGATTGTTGAATAGAGTCTAGTCATAAGGAAATAATATTTTATGGGATTTTTTTTTTGCAACTATAGGCAAATTTTAAAATAGTCTATCCATTATTGATTTCATGGATTTTCCCCCATTTGTCATGTTTCTCCAAACATATTTTGAAGTCTTGCATAGATCAATCCTTTTTCCTAATATATTTCAATTTCTGAAGAATAAGTTTCTCCCATCTGATGTTTAGTCTTAGCTTTTATTTTAAAAACAGAAATATAAAGTATTTTTAAGGCTTTGCTGTTTGCCTTTTTACTGAAAGGAGACAAAAAGTACTCTTTTTAAAAAACACTTACACATGGTACATCCAGATTAGAACAGTTGGTGTTTTGTGAGGGATATTCTAGAGATGAGTTCTCTGTAACCACATCTCTCTATACCTGACTCTTAAAATCAGAAAGGAGTGAGACTTCCTTAAGCTAATGTAAAATGCAGATAGCTAAGCTAAACTGAACTCTCTTAGGCTCCCTCTAAATGTAATGGAGAAAGAGAAGAGTTTCCAGAGTGATTCATCCCATTTCTCCAATTTGGGCTTCTAACTGAGATGAATCCGTCTGTATAGGTGCACCATTCTTGACATAGCTAAAAGGGTGAGGAGAGTTGAATTCCACCCTCAGTCATTACTTTTTCCTTCTACTACATAACTGTAGTTGTTTAGACGCTGTTCAGGCAAAGTTGAGTTAAAGAGTTAACGCCACTTCTTAAAGAAATTCAAGAATCCTCCATTCATACCACTGATAAAAATTAGTGGTGATGGACCTTTAGCCTTTCCACAAAAGAGCTAATTTCAGGGACTGAGAAAAATAGCCAATATAACATGCTTTTAGTAAATTACCAAGTGATCATGTACAAATACAAATTACATTGCCTAAGCAAAAGGCTACCATTGTAAAGATGGCAAATGTGTGTTCACTCGGGAAGACAGGTTGGCAAAGCAGCCAGCTAAACTGCTTTAATGTGTAATGATATGGCTTAGCTTGTAGAATTTGTGGTAAAGCTGTGATGGCTTGCATTATTGCATATTTTGATCTGCCCTCCAGAAACAAAGAGCATGGTTTAGATACTCATTTTAAGCATTCTAATATATTGAATGTCCAGTTGTTCCTGGTTGAGGAGATGAGCTTCTAGGAGCAAATAGGTTCCTAAGGGAGTAAATTCACAGGCACAATACAACCATGGTCAGGTTTGAGATCTTTAGGGTTTACCACAAAACAGTAATAGTAATAACTTATAATCTGACAGATCCCTCTAATTTCTTCAGGTTTTTCAGCAGAACTTAACCGACGGCATTTAACCTACACAGAGCAAGACTTCAGGTAGCTGGGAAGCTCACATGTCTTTGCTCCTAGGAGCCTGAGAAGAGTATTATCAGTGCCAAGGGCTAAACGCTTGGCATAAATACCCTGAGAAAGATGAGCCAGCCTCTGCATTGTACAGGTGCTGGTTAGTACTGCACTGATAAATTATTCTGCAAGCATCCAACTTACTTTCTTTGTCTTGTATAAACTGGCTCACAGTTCCTTCTTATATTTCAGCAGATGGCACTATAACTTAATTTCCTTGTATGCTGTCAATATCTGGACATTTAATTCAGCTTCACTGAATGTTTTTGTGTTTGTAAATTTTAAACCTCAAGAAGATTATAGATAGTAAAAATACAATATCTAATTTGTTTATATTAATTTTCAAGGCCTTAATTCATTAAAATATTTGAGTTTGAGTTTTGGAATAGTGTAAAAATTAAGTTGATTTTGCCAACTAATTGATTTTGCCAACTATTAACTGGATGAAATGTTTCCCATTTTGCAGTTCAGATCTAGTGCTCTCTAGGTAGAGAAGAACCAGAATCCCAAATGTCTCTTACAATCTTTATCCAAGCCTTGTGGGGAAAAGAAAAAAAAAAGGGAAATATATACTAATTGTTTATTTTTGCAGTTGCAGAAGTGCATCCAGTGCTTCAGAAACTAAAGAACTGTCATAACAGTCAGTACACATTACAAATTTGCCTTTATTTTTCCAGTTAAACCTATTAAGACATCTTAAATGGCAAAAAGAAATTTATTAAACATTGGGGTTTATTGTGTGTAAATACACAATATAAAGGGAAATTAGTTAATTATACCATACTTACATGTCCAAGAGGTTACATTTTCTCATTAAATACTGAATGAAAAAGTAACGTGGTTCAGAACATTCTAGTTTGATGGATTTTTGGTGAGAAAGAAGGTGAGAAGTGTTTGCAGCAATTTTCAGTGTTTAATATATTTTAAAATACATGGTGTAATCCTGAGGAATACAGTCATGATTTATCTTCCCCTTGTAAATCCCAATTTCAGGGCATCTGGATCCTGTTACAAGAGAGATGCTGCAGAAATACATGCTTTGCCATATTGATCCTATTTTCTCTTCTATCTGTGATCTTCTACAGTGTAACACTTTTGTGTATACGTTCTCAGTGGGTACCCTAAGCCAGTTGAGGGTTGTCTGCCTGACAGAGTCACTTTGGCCAACTCTGTACTTCATGGGTAACGTAGAGTGGATTTGATAGAAGAATCCAATAACAATAAAGTACTGGGTTAGCAAGGTGTGGTATAAACACTAAGAAATTCCTTTTGTGAATTTAGATAACATTGCATGCAAGTGGAAAGTATGCAACAAAGAAGGAGGAGGCAAAACCATATTCAAATACCAGTGCATCTCACAAGATGAATTTCACATAGGATAGGCACAATTAACTTCTCTTTCTCCCTCCAAGCCTGAAATGTCTTAAAATGCAGTTGGGGCATGAGACTTGCTTTTTGAAAATTTTGCTACCATTAGATTGCGTTCAGTATAGATAGCCCAGTCTTTGATTTGATACTTTAAAGTCATCCTGTATTATCTTCATCCAACCTACAGTTATATGGTCCCTGGGGAAATTAAGATGGATTAGAGGTTTTGTGCATCTATGTTCCTTTGTTTTTCACAATGTAATGATGTGTATAAATATCAAAATCCATTGCAGTTGGAAATGGACTTCTTACAACACAATTATGATCTCTACTTCATCAGCAATTAAGATTTATTTTTACTAGATCAAGAAATTGCGTACTTTAGAAGAATCACGCTGATTACAAAGCTATGGTAAAGGAGGTATGGTAGGCTGTAAAATAATGAAGGTGCTTCTTTAGCTATCTCATGATTTTTAATGCTATTTATATGAGACCAGTGTTCATCAAAATACATGTTTTCCGTTACTGAGTTGGATGTATTCTAACTTTGCAGTGCTCATCCTCTATTTAAAACTCACAAAGAAGAGAAAACAAAAAGAAATGCGTGAATCTCAGTGGTGGTTTCTGAACTCTTCTTTTAAAATCTATGTTCTTTCTCTTGCAGTGAAAACTCACATGCAACAAGGATTAATTTCTGTTGCTGCTCGTACTGTGATAACACATCTAGTCAACCACTTAGGCCACTATCCTATGAGTGGAGGTCCTGCTATGCTAACCAGTCAAGTGTGTGAAAACAATGACAATCCATTCAGTGAAAGTCCTGAACTTTCTCCTGAACTTTTTGAGAACCCAAACCTTCAATTCTTTGTGTTAAACAATACTTCCCTGGTGTCTTGCATACAAATCCAAGCAGAAGATGACATGCCTGGGGGAGGACTGTCTGCTGGACTTGCATCTGCTAATTCAAATGTTAGAATTATAGTGCGTGATCTATCTGGCAAATACTCGTGGGATTCAGCCATTTTGTATGGACCATCATCTTTATGTGGATCTTCACAACAAACGTCTTTTGCACTTTCATTATCTCAACAAGATAAACCAGAAGATGCTCTTTCGTCTTTTGAGCATGTGGAGGATGTATCTGCAAGGGATGGAATTACACTGCAAGTAAAAAGGAAATTTAGAGACTCTGTACCAACATGGGATACGATTAGGGATGAAGAAGATGCCCTTGATGAGCTCCTGCAGTATTTAGGGGTTACAAGCCCTGAGTGCTTACAGAGAACTGGTGTCTCCTGCTCCTCAACCAGTCTGCATCTCAGAGAAGCAGGAGAATGATGTCATCAATGCAATTCTGAAACAGCACACAGAAGAGAGGGAGTTTGTTGAAAAGCATTTCAATGATTTAAATATGAGGGCAATGGAGCAGGATGAGCCAACCTCACAAAAGCCCCAGTCAGCATTTTACTACTGCAGATTACTTCTCAGTATACTGGGAATGAATTCTTGGGATAAAAGGTAAAAAGAAAAACTCATACAATTTAAGAACTTTCTTTTAAGGAATTTTGCTATTCTTATTGAGTAATAACAGTTGATCATAGAGTGGATTAAGCCAAAAATACTCCAGGCCAGCCAACAAAAGAGGAGAGAGGATGTGCAACTAAAGGGGAAATGACAGTTTTCTTCTGCCTTTCAACCTCTCATTTAGAGAGACAGAAAGGAGGGACCTGTTGCTTTTATTGCTATTTTATATTCTTTCCTTAGAACAGTGTTGGAAGGCAAATTGAAGGAGTGATATATTTTCTAATAATCCTTTCACCAGCTGTACTAAGGGGTACTACCGTGAGTAAAGGAGGCATCTTTTTTGCTTTCTTTGCTTCCTATGTATGTTCATGCAAAAATCATTACCTTTCTATGCCAGAATGAGACTTTGAAAGTGTTATATTCTCAGCTATTGTGTTGCTGGACAGTACCCTGCTGCTTTGCCTGCTAAGAGCATGCTTGTATGCAGCCTCAAAGCATTGCATCTGTGTTAGCTAATGAGAAAGATGTGTCCCCTACTACTTATTTCAACGTTGGCAATGTTTGGGTATTGTTTAGAACAACAGGAGACAAGCGATGTTCAATCACAAAAGTAGTGTCTCTCTTTACATTATTATTTTTGCGTGAGTGTAGTTAGGTGTATGTCTGCATATGTATGTGGACATGTACAAATATTAGCATCCTAGAATGTAAGGGTGTTTCTGAAATCTTCTTTTGCCATAGCTGTCAAATTCCATGTTAGAGGCATTGAAATATTTTCTTACTATGTGGGGAAATGGATATTCTGTAAAACAAAAATAATCTGTGTCACTGAGGCATCACTGGAATCGAACAAAATTTTGGTGTTACAACCCTTCTTATTTGGGTTTTCAGTTCCTCAAGGCAGTCTCGTTTGAACAATACTGCTCTTAAACTCATACCGCTGTGTTTTGTGGGAAATCTCTTAAGTGCAGTTTAAAAGAAAAGTGCCTTTCTTGCTCTAACAAACTGTTTCATTTTTTCTTTAAATTGTTACAGCTGGCTGGGTGACTAGTGAACTGTGTTTTCTTTTCTGCAATTCAGAATAGCAAAAGCTCTGTGTTTAATGCACTAACTCCCCAGGACAGTAGGTTATGGGAGTGTCTTTTGTCACTAAGCATGTATATTATGGCCTGGTAAAGTGTGCAGCTTATATATGCATTAAAGGGAGTTCTGTCTGTTCTTCTGTAGAGAAGAGATTGATCGCAGTTGGATCCAATAGGTTGACAGAAAAAAGTGGAAAGAAGTAAAGGTTGTACTCAGCGCTATAATGGATATAGAAGATTTCCTGGAGTAAAAAAAATTGCTTCTATATTTTTTAAAAGATATTTTAATATTTTGTATAAGAAAGGACTTGAAAAGTTGAAAAGGCAAAAGCTTTTGTTCACTGTTCTTGAAATGAAGCTGGAAATGTTCTTGTACGATTTTTGTACTATTCTGTATCCATCAGTGAACAGGTGATAAAAGAGTTACAAATTTCTCTATTTAGAAGGAGCTTTCATCTCCTGAAGAAAAATGAAAAGTTACTTCGAGAACTCAGAAATTTGGACTCAAGACAATGGTAAATTCTTTTAATGGCCACCTACTTATTTGTTTTAAGTGTGCTTGTAGTTAAATGTCTCTAATTGCACAGATGTGAGAGTTGAACTGATTTTTTTTAATAGTTTTATGAATTATTCATGTATTTTGCACTGTATTGTAGTTATTGGTGTTATATTCGAGTTACATTAGCGTTATCTGTAGAGTGAAACTCTACAAGTAGAATATCATGAGATAGAACAAACTTCAAAATAATGTAAAATTATAAACATTTGTATGCATAACATGGAATAGTGTTAAAACTTTGATATCAAAGTCTCTGCATTTTAAGCTTTGGCTAATTGTTTAGCTGTTTTCCAGTGCTGTTAGTATTTGAAGGCATGGAATTCTAGTTGGAGTTGTAGCACGGAATTAAAAACTTCGAATTGTTTTTGTGGAAGTTTAAATAAAATCCAGTGGAGATCTTAGAACTGTGAGAAACCACCTTCAGTTGCTCCAGTGTCTAACAGCAAGCTGTGAACAGAAGACATTGCTATAGTACTTAAAGACTCTTCAGTTGCATAAGGTGCATTTGCCACCCCATTCGCAAGGCACTGTTGTTAATGGGCAGTGCGGTGTCGATAATGTCTGTGTTACAGGTTGTGCTCATTTTGGAAGCCCAGCTATTCCATTAGCAATCAGTGCTGCTAGTACCACCCTATGTCTTGGAAGTCATGAAAGGGGCAAATGCTGTTCATGTATAGCAAAACTTTAGGCTATTGAGAAGACCAGACTAGAAGAGACAGAATGGGGATATGGAAATATAGAAGGTTTTCAAAACAAAGCCATATAGTTGTACTTGACTTCCACTATCTTTTTTGATGTTTTAAAAGCCGTGATCTGTGTGTATTCTTTGCATATTTTCGTTGCGTATTAGTAAAGGCACTGTCATGCAGTGACCATTCTCTGTTTTACAGCCGAGAGACACACAAGATTGCGGTGTTTTATGTTGCTGAGGGACAAGAAGATAAACACTCCATTCTCACGAATACTGGGGGAAGTCAAGCCTATGAGGATTTTGTAGCTGGTCTTGGCTGGGAGGTATTTATTAAAATGTTTTTATCCTAAGTTTGTTTACAGAGAAAATTACAGATCTATTTAGATATTAGAAGCCTTTGGCTCTTTAGCATTACTCACAAGTACTGAAATACACCGTTTTGCAAGTAGGATGTAGAGAAGAATTCTGATTTTAATTTCATTAGCAATACTAGCTATTGAATTTTAAGCTCTTTCAATTTAAGGAAATTTCTGCAGGCAGAGGTGATTCTTTAATGTGCAGTCCTGTACTTGGCTTTCACAGGCTGATTAGGAGGTATCTTGATTTCCCTGTAAGCCTGTAAAGTGTTAAGTCTGTTGAAGTTTGAGTTTTGCTCAAATTTGGGAATCCAAAAAGTAGAAACGAGCAGCTTCTTTCATGCTCCCTTCTTTGTGCCTTCCAGTGCAGGCATGTATCTGTTCGCACACTCCACTCCATGTGTCTTCCATCAGTCAGAAATCCTGTGATGTACCCCATCATCTATATGGGCCTGCAGCTGTTTAGCCACTAGTTCGATACTGTTACGAGGATTTCCTTTTTTGCATCCTTGTTTTCTGCCCGCACAGGATTAACTTCTATTGTAAAGTTCAACTCTGTACTGTTGCACAAAAGTACAGGAATCGCTCCTGCTGCTGGCTGGGTGCATAAGAAACCACAGGTTTTCTGTTCCTCTTGTGACTTGCGTTCATCAGGAATGTCTACATGAGTGTCCATCTTACTTATTCTTTTTTTTTTTTTTTCTTGTTTTTACTCCTTAGGTATATAAGAGCACTACTAGATTAGCTGTGTGGCTAATGGCTCTGACTTTTCCACAGGAACAGAGGAAAACTGCTAGAAGTCTGCGGACTGTCACAGACATAGATGTTCATTTCCCACATTCCTGATTCTTCAGGAGAAAAAAAAAACAGAATAGTGTCTTCAAATATGCTCCTCTAGTGGGTTAATTCTCTTAGCCTTTGTTAACTAGATTAAAGAGTTGCTAATTTAGATTCATATTCCATGATGAGACATCAAATATTTTAACCTTAACATTAGATTTGGGTCTTTTATTAACAGAAGAGCAAATATATTCCATGTGGGCAGAGATGAAATGTATTTACGTCTGAGATACAGCTTTCTTTAGGTACTGTTTTAAAAGTGAAATAGCACATTAGGCATGCTTATTTATTACAGTGCCAAACTATTTCCCATAGAACTTCCCACAGAACTTACATTATTTCCCATAAGACTTACAGACTTAATTATGAATTACCAGTTCGTTTCCTGTGATTTTTTTCATATCCACAGAATGAAAATTTCTAAAGAAAATATATGGAAGGTAATAAAAATTCAAATTGTCTGGCTGTCACACAGGGTTTCTTCAGAGCTCGGGTCAAGGCTGATGTAGTATCACAGAATTTTAAAAAATTTAAAAAGCACATGTAAGTGACTACAGTCAACTAATCAGGGAATAATGCAGTAAATACTCATTTACACAACTTTTCCTTTTCTCTAACCTCATCTTCCCAGCAGCATCTGTGGTGACCGTGGAATATCGAATGCCACTGTACTGCAGTTGATTTCCAGTCTAGTCAGCAAGTCTGAGCTCTTTTAGGAAAGCATTACTGTACTGTTGTGAAAAGGATCTTCACTTCTAAAAATTCAGTTGAAAGTGCATTTTAAAGTGTAAAGAATGTATTTATCACCTGATTTTTTTTTCTTGTAATGCTTCTTGGGCTTTATTTCTAGGTAAATCTCACAAACCATTGTGGTTTTATGGGAGGACTGCAAAAAAACAAAAGCACTGGATTGACCACTCCATATTTTGCTACCTCTACAGTAGAAGTAATGTTCCATGTGTCAACAAGAATGCCTTCTGATTCAGATGACTCTTTAACAAAAAAGGTAGGTGTTTCTGAATAACCGATTTTCTTTTGGTTATAAAACCAGAGAAATTAGTGTCAAAGAAAATCCAGTAACCTTTTCTAAAAAAACATAAAATATCATAACACCTTTACCTGCTAATAGTTGGTATTTTACTGAAGTTGATTAAGACATATAAATTATTCTCCTCCAACTTCTAATTTTGCCATACTGGTGATTTTTGCCATCATTGCAACTGTGGACAGGATCACATGTATAGTGGTGAAAAATGCAGGGAGGTTATGGTTTGTGTAGAAGAAAAAGCATTACATCTGAATGATGTTTTAGTACTTTGAGACTTTAAATGCCAATTAATAAATATGAGGTGAGTACTTTCTAAGATGACTTTTTATTCATTAAGAGTCACATGTTGGGTATTAACATATTTTTTCCTTTTTAAAATAAGTTAAAAATATAAAGAATTTGACAGTGTTTATAAGGTGTTTCATCTTGGAGCAGGCACAGAGGCTCAACAGTGATATGATCTCTCATAGCCATGTTAAGAAGAAAATGATTTGCTGTATTGGTATTTATTTCTTTGAAATTTAATAAATTCCACATTAGTGATAATAAGTTACAGTCTCAAACATGTGTCCTATTATAAATGAACAATTGGCTATCATTAGACTGTCCCCCGTCCTGCGTACATACATCTTCAGATGTGCTAATCCATTCAGTAGACACGTTAATGAGCACTGGTTGAAGTGTAATATTGGAGGAACTGAAGCTGGTTGACCTCAGCATGGAGTTTAATATATGTAATTAAATTAGACAGTAGACAGTTAGTAAAGAGAGAAATAGCCATGCCTCTGGCAAGCTTCAATTATTAATGACTTTTCTGTTCTTTGTGTTCAACTTGAAGAAAAAAAAAAATTATTGTTATTATTATAGACTGACTGTAAGTTCTGACTTCTCACTGTTGCATCTTAGGTTTGTTTGTTTGTTTTAAATTTAAAAAAATATTTATTCTTTTATGCCTGTGGTGCTGGGTCCTTTCTGTTGTTTATTTCCTGAAGTTAGAGTCAGGGTAATGTTTAGGTTGTTAAATGATTTATAGAAGTGGTTTAATAGCAAAAATAACTAATTTGAAAATAAGATTATTGCTATTATTCTGGTATAGAACAGTGTGTGTATATATTTTTTTTCTAAGTTGACTGACTTTGTATTTTTTAAACAGAAACTTGGTTTTATAAAACACAGCTTGTAATTATCTTTACAGTGTTTGTTTATAATCTGTTTGAATTAGAGCATTAAAAAGCATTGACAAGGGGTCACATTGAAAATTAATTAATAATACATAATTTGCAAATGCTGTGGACTTCTGCAGAACACACAGGCAAGATCTCGTGTCTGTTTCCAGGAGCACCCTGAATCTACATGTAGCTGTTCTTGCCAGGCAAGGTCCAGTGCTGGTCCAGGCCACCTGTGATTTAGCTTGTGCAAATGGCGTCAGCTGGACTTTTTAACAACTCCATCTTGCCCCAGGCCTATTTCTCTCCTACTTTACCCACAATCTCACTCATCAGTAATTTGGAATATTGGAGGTCTTTATGGATTTGTAGGCTGTATCAAAAGATTCAGATTATATTTGTAGCTCAACTACTGATGGGCTGTTTAATCAAGCTACTTTATTTCTGTGTGACTTTGTTTCCTGTTCTTCTGCAGTATATGGGGTTTTTTTCTTCTTTATAAGCCTAGCTTCCCCATGAATGGAGCCTTGTGAACCTGCCTATAAGTCTCTCCTCCCTTCCCTAACACCTTTTGGCCCATTTCAATCAAATTTAATAGAGGTGTGTTTCAAAGGTGTTAATTTCATGTATTTTTAAGGAAGATAGGCTAAGTAAAGGAGGCAGAGCGAGAGAGACTTTTAGCACCCCTACTCAGCAGGTAACAACTGCATGGCAAGAGGCATTAGACATCAAGGAACCAGCACCAGAGAGAGATGCTATGAAAGTCATCCCAAACTTGAGAAAAGCATCAACTAATGTTTTCATCTTGGGAGAAACCAGCAAGTGGTATCAGGAGACATGAATAGGAAAACAGGCTTAATTCTTTTACTAGTTCTGCAACTACTCGTGCTGCTTAGACTGAACACACAGGCAAAAGGAATGTGTTTTATGAGATGCTGTTCAGCTCACACATGCTATAGGGGACCCCAAAATCATTTGAGAGCCATGTGTGTGCTAACAATTGTAACTGTTCTGAGTGCATGTACTGTTTGTGACCTTCAGAGAAACGTGAGTTTTGAGCTTCTTTACAGGTCTTTCATGTGCTTTCTTTGTCTATTTCATTCCGTGGGAGAAAAACAAGCAAACTTGCAGTAGTTGGCTTAGAACTGCTGCTGTTTTTTATATTTTAAATGTGCCTAGAGGTGCATGATAGGTTCATCTTATAAATGGAAATTAAATTTAATTAAAACAAAACTTCTTCCTGCCAGTCGAGTGACTGCAAAATCAAGATTCTGCTGTTTCAGAGGCTAAGCCAATTTTAAACTTATTTTCCATCAGTCTTACAGAGTAGTAAATAAAACTTTTAAGTGTCTTGGATACCTCTGAAGTGTTTGTTTCTGAAGACATGAGCAAGAGCAAGGAGAGACATGAATTCAAGGAGAACAGGTGAAAATCTTCTGAATGTGTGAAGGAACTTAACATTGAAATGCATATGTAAAATAGGTATTTAGTTTGCAAATAGTAAATTAAAGATTTAGTGCTGATAATGCGATCCATTTTGTTTTTCTTAGAATTAAAGGTTAGAGTAAAAAGTATTTACACTGCCCTTACAATAACAAACTTGCAAAGAAAATATCAGAATTAAATGAAACTGTGAAGACTCTCAGTTCACAGAGTGAGAAAGCTTGTGTATATGTCTCTACATCATATCACCTGTCTAGCTCCTCCTTTCTTAGCCTCATAAAGGAGTGAAGGCGTTGTAGGTGAAAATATTATACATAGAACATGTAAATAAAAAGTAGTGATGTTGTTAATGATTGGAATACTAATTTATCTTGGGCTTTGGGTGTATTACATGATTCTAGGTTTTGTGTGACATCGTCCTAACCACATAAAAAATTTATAGCTCCCGGTATTTATAGGTAGTATTTTTATTGTGGTATTAACAGGCATTGGGAACTTGAAGGTTTGTAAATGTAAATTATTAGTACGATATTTTTTTGGAGTTACAATTAAATACGCATGTTGCTTTAAAAAAACAAAACAACAAAACACACCTTAGTTGTTGAAACAAAGTTTTATGAAAAATTCAACTAGAGGGTACACACGCTGTAGACAGCAGTGCTGCTTACATTTAATGGGCAAAAGTAGCTGCTTTAAGCCATTACTTCAGATGTTTCTGCTCATTCTGTTCTGTTTATAATAAACACTTTCATTTTTGAAGAAGAAAAAAGTTGGGGCTAGCTGTTGTATCATAAGAATATATAGCCTTTTTTCACCCCCCTTTAGGTAAGTGTGTATTAGAAATCACAGTAATTTTGGCAAGAGTTCAAGGGTTAATGCAACAGATAAATAAAAGGAATTTTCTGTAAATTGAGCCCTGCATTATTTCACTTGTCTTGCCTTTCCAAACCTAACTCATTTAATTTTAAAAAGTAAATACTTAAATTCTTCCTGACAGTGTGCTTTGCTTTTACTATCGTTTATTACTTCAATTATACTTGGTATCACTTAGAACAATCTGCCATTTGGAAATTTCAGTATAGCCTGCAGCTTAGTATTAAGCCTGGCTGCTATTGTAACATGTACAGCATATGACACTAATGTATCAAAATTAGATTTGATCATCCCTCCTGGTTATATTTATTTCACATTTCTTTTGTATTCAGTTAACATAAATGTATTAGGAGAGCTGACACATGATGATGGCTATAGAGTAAGAATATTTTAAAGTATTTTGAGTTAAATTTGAAATTTCAGGTAAACCAGCAGTCGGTCATTTTTATATATTTGTTTTAATGGAGTAGAGTTTCAAAGCAAGCCTAAAAAAATCTGTTTGTCTCTGACATCTCCTCAGGGCTGTCTTCCCGACAGCTCCGGTTTAAAATGGCTAAAACAGAGCTCTTAATCTGTTTCTCATTGCCACCTTTCTGGATCACCACGGATAACATGACTATTGTGCCTGTCACTTGTGCCCATAGCCTGAAATCATCTTTAGTTTGGTCTGCATCTTAGATTCTTACATTCAGTCCATGCTTAAGACTCTGTTGACTCTGTTCTTTTTTCTACATAACATTTCTTGCAACATAGCTTTTGCATACACAGTTAAGATTTATTGACTATATCCTAAACTGTTGTTTTGATTGCCGAACCTTCCTTTCTCTGGTCTTGACACTTTTCATTCTTGAAGAATGCTGCTGTAAAAGACATTTTTCTAATCTTTAATGCCTTTTTACAGTTTCATTGCATTTGTCCATCTCCATTTTGTGTCCTGCTTTATACTTGGATAACAAACTATCTAGAGCAGTTTGAGTTGCATTTATGCGGTATTTAGTGGTTTAGAATATTGGTGTGTAACATATAGTTCCAGGCATTTCAGCTATAGTGTATTATTGGTTACTTGAAGTATAACATTATTTTAGAGCTTTTTATTATTTGCATTATTGCTGTGCCTTACATCTCTCATAAGGATTTGCACTTTGCTTTGCTTACTGTGATTTATGCACATACAAAGTTGTAAATTTAGGAAGACAAGGTCAGGAAATGAATGTGAAGATGTAGTGGCTTACACAACCAGTCGTGAGTTTTGAGTGATCATTGACACAGATGTCAGTCTTGGCACCGGTACGTTCTGTGTGCACCCAATCTGATTTTGTCAGATAACATTGGGACCACACCTTCTTATTGGGAAGCCATGTTGCTGTCTGTCCTTTAGGTTTCAATGAGCAGAGGTGGTTGTAGCTCGGTATCTTTGTCCCATTTGTGTCCAGGAAACTGAATTCTGGGATGCTTCCAATTCAGTACAAAGGCATGAAGAATCCAGATTGAAGTTTAAAGAGTTCAGGCTCTGGCTGTCCTGTGGTGTAATAATTACAGTGAATGATGGATTCTCCAAATGATTGCTGTGCTTACAGGAGAGCTTTGTCATGGAGAACTGCTCAATTTCAAGGCCCTTCAATAGGGAACTGAAAAATTCTTTCTAAGAAGTTTGTGCAAAACCTATATGCTGGTTTTGGCCGAAACAGAGTTCATTTTCTTCACAGTAGCTAGTATGGGGCTATGTTTTGGATTTGTGCTGGAAGCAGTGTTGATAATTCCAGGATGTTTTCATTATTGCTGAGCAGTGCTTACACAGAGTCAAGGCTTTTTCTGCTTCTCACACACCCCCACCAGCGAGCAGGCTGGGGATGCACAAGAAGTTGGGAGGGGACACAGCCGGGACAGCTGACCCCAACTGACCAAAGGGATATTCTGTACAATATGACTTCATCCTCAGCATAGAAAGCTGGGGGAAGAAGGAGGAAGCAGGGGACGTTCAGAGTGATGGCATTTGTCTTCCCAAGTAACTGTTACGCATGATGGAGCCCTGCTGTCGTGGAGATGGCTGAACACCTGCCTGCTGATGGGAAGTTGTGAATGAATTCCTTGTTTTGCTTTGCTTGCGCTCGTGGTTTTGCTTTACCTATTCAACTCTTCTTATCTCAACCTACAAGTTTTATTTTTTTCAATTCTCGTCCCCATCCTACTGTGAAGGAGGAGAGAGGGAGGAGCAAGCGGCTGCGTGGTGTTGGGTTGCTGGCTGGGGTTAAACCACGATAACCTAGCAGTCCTTGGAAAGCTTTTCAAGACAATTTCAGGTATTGCATCTCTTCCATGAATCAAGTGTTGTTGTTGAGTCAAGTTACTACCATTCAAGCTTTTTCACAAACTTTGCTTGCTGACCAAGGTGAAGACATCTGAAAGAAACAGTAAGGAGCACTGTGTTAATGTCAGAGGTTCTTCTGATCTACTCTTGAAAAAGGGACAGAATGACTTTATCTAGAATTAATTATTCTCCAAACATAACTATGAAATCAGCAACACCCAATCTTCTTTACTTTTCTATTATTTTTGTCAGTCTTGTGCCTCCTATAATGGAAACAAGTAATTGATCACAGTTTTGGTCTTGAGTACTTTACATCTTGTTATAAACCACCATTGACAGTTTATACCATGATGCACACCATCTGATTTTGGCTCTCAATCCATTATATGTCACAGAGATGCCATTCTACACTTTACTCAAACCAGATCTTTGCCAGATCATTCTTGGTAATAATCATGAGGTGAAATACACCTGAAAGGACTTGGGATTCCTTGGAATAATCTGATTCATTTTCCTTTTCCTCTGAAGAAGTTAGTGCTTTTAACCTGGAATGTATGGTACCACCTCTATGGTATGAAGCAAACTTTGAAATTGGAGAGAGAGATCACTAATGGCCTCAGTACACTTGGCATCCAAAAATATGTGAAAAAAATGCACAATACGATTTTATCACACCAAAATCTATGTGTGAAATCTGTGTGTAAAAGTATGCATCAGTAGTGATGCACCATCTGGATAGCTTTCACAGAAGCGCATGAACTGATGTCCTGTCTGATTAGCTGCAGGTATCAGTAACAGGTACATGGGGACAACTCTCTATATGTTTGGATTTTTAAGTCATTTATTTGGCATGTACACTGTCACCGTCCCTTGTTTCTAAGTGTATGAGTTTGTTGTCTTTGAGTCCAAAGATGGTAAGTAAAGGAGGGTTAATTCATTTAGCAAATAGTTCAATATTGCTGAATTGGGAATGGTGCCGTGCAGTGCATCAGTCCTAGTTCTGCTTTTTGGCAGTCGGTTCAATGAGTTCAGTCAGTTCATCAGATGGCCGTCCCTCAGTCTAGGATCATGTAATTTTTTCACATTGCACAAGATTTCATATCTGAACTGATTGGCCTCTTGCTTTCTCTTTGGTTAGGCAGGCTCATCCTCCCTGACCTTTTCACTTGCTTCTAAGTGCGGGCCCATCAGTCCCTGACACCCTTCTGTCATTGTCATATTTCAACAGATAGTTTGTCACTTCACCGAGGAAGGTAGAAGAGGTTCAAGCCCTCAGAACAATTCCACAGTTGTCTTTTATGGTGTTAGTAATTGTTAAGTGTCATCCAAGGTCTCTGCAGCTGCTGTTTGTGTGTTGCACATCAGTCATTCACCTTGCTGCCTGGTTTTGTTCTAATCTAGTCAAATAAAACTCAGTATAGTGAATGTTGTTATAACCAGTTCTTTGGTTGGACTGAGTTTATGGTTGGCACAAGGGCATTCCTAACTAAGTGTTGTTCAAAATAATTCAGCCATCTACAAAAGAGGCAAGAACAGCTCACTTCAAAGGAACTGCAGTCATTGTAGATTAGATGTATGTATGATCTAGTCCAGGCAAAACAAATGACTTGTTGAGCATCAGATGAGATGTAAGCTGTTGATGCCATCTGTCCTTTGCCTAGTCCAACACTGAAGAAAATCCTTTTTTTATAGAAATACAACCCTGTTTTTCAGTCTGATACAATTTCAAGCTAGCAGAGAAAAGCAGAGGCAGCTTCTTTTTTAGCTTTTCCTTCTGCCCCCCCCTCCCTTTTTTTTTTGTTTTAAATCTGCTGCTGACAACCAGTATAAACCTTCAGATAAGATGACGGTAGCATTCCAGGAGGTTTAGTAATATAAACAAGTGAATACTTGCAATGAAATTTCTCTGATGACTGTGTATATGTTTTGCTTTTATTTGAAGTGCAGTTATGTTCTGAAAATGAGCACAGAAAGTTGCTGCTTTTTTATATACAATAACTTCTTATAAGTGCTCAGATTAGTATCTGCGTGTTACCTGTTAACAGCAGTTCACAGTGCTGTCCTTTGAATAGCATCAAGGCGATTGATGAATTCTACCGATCTAAAGCTCTGCAAACAAACTGAAAACTGTGGGTGAAGACAATTGACAGCTGTAACTGGTGATACACAAGGAGGAAGAAATGAGATTCCAGCTTGAATTTTCAGAAATAGCCCTTACTAGAAACTCATGTTTAATAATCTGAATGTATTTGATCAGTATAGGTAAAGCCTCTCTCCATGATGTTAACATTTGTTTATCAGATGATAACGTTTAGCAGAAGGAGCATTTTGGAGCTTCAATGCAGATAATTCCAAAGTGTTCAAGATGTTCCTTAATCTGATTATATGATTACAGCTGAGGATACAGCATGGATTTTGAGGAAGCCGTTTGGCCATTCTGAGTCAAGTCAAGAGCCATTTTGGTTTTTTGGGGGGTGGGATGTTATTTGTACAAAAGTATACAGGTTTCATGGGAAATGAGCATTTAGTTTAGTTAATCTAGGGACCATGGAAAATGCAGTAGCTGTTCTCCTTTAAAACCTTTTTGTTTGTGGTAGCCAGTTTGGAATTTGGCTAGGATGATGACATTAAAAACTGCTCAGATACGTAGCCTTTAAGCAGATGTTCATTCATATACTTTAAAAGTTCATATAGAATTTAGTAATTCGCTGCCTGTCAGTGATGGCAATCATGAAAGCATTTTAGTAAATCAGATTGAACCACTCTGTGTTCTTGAGATAATATCAACAAAATTTTAGCTTTCAGTAGAAAACAGATAATTGACATATCTGTTAATTTAAATAGACATTGGCACCAATGTATAAAAATCTATAACACAAACCAATACTGTGAACTAATACTGTCACTGAAATTGTAAGACAACTGTGGTGTAATTTGGTTATTTTATTCATTTTTCTCCATTTCTTTTTAGTGTTTTTTTCCTTTTGAAATATGAGCATTTAGTATAGCTGTATGGCTATAGAATATATTTAAACTGATGGCTTTTTATGCCTGCTTTTCCAGCTAAGACATTTAGGAAATGATGAAGTACACATTGTCTGGTCAGAGCATACTCGAGATTATAGAAGAGGAATAATTCCAACAGAATTTGGTGATGTTCTTATAGTTATCTATCCCATGAAAAACCATATGTTCAGTATCCAGATAATGAAAAAGCCTGAGGTAAGAGGGGTTTTTTCTTTTTTTTCTCCTTCATATGTTTAATATGAACTGAATTTTGTTTGAAATCTTGAGGTTTTGGTATAATAGATTGATGCAACAAGACGATGTGTCTTTAACATTGACAGTTGCAGTGGTGGTAGGAGAAAGAGGAAGAGCTCAGTGAGTACAATGCATAGTAAAATCAGTTACTTGATATTGCAAAGGCCTGATCCTGTCAAGCATATCTGCTAACTTCATAAACTGCAAACAATAATATAAGCTAGAATATTCTACATAATCATTTAAATATTAAGATCAACTTGGTGAACTTTTTTATCAAATTTGATACGTAACTGTGGTAGTTGAATAATAGCCTGCTCCAGCTTTCTCCGTCCATGTCATATTCCCCTTTCTTCTTCTCAAAGCTAGTTTTCACTTTCTCCTTGACTCCACACAAGAATTTGGAGATTAATTCAGCAATGCAAGATCATTCAGTTCTTAGGCATATGACCAC